GCCCACTGCATCCACTGCCTCATGTGTATAATTGTATGCACTGTAAATAATCGATTATGTCAATTCTTATCATACTATGAACTCAAACACAAACTGTTCTTCAATTATCGATTTTACTTACTCTTTTTTCAAATTGTCCCAGGCGGATCCAAGTAATTCCATTGCTACGTTTGTGTAGATGTGAAAACTCAACAAAATGTATCAAATTAAATGTTCGTCTGTCTGTCTTTCTGTCTTATTCAGACTTACACTCGTTTATATGTTTACACTTCTTTTGGCTTCGATTCAACCACAATAAATGCAATAATGTGCTAATTATTGGACGCACAATTAGAATTTCGGTCAGAAATGAATCTTTATCAGCTAAATAAAGACCGAAACACTCTAGAATTTGAATGGAAATCAATTTAGTTGGAGATTTTTGTAAATCAAAGTAATTCACAGTGCATGTGATAAACAACTTTCTAAACAGCTTGTTGGTAGGTATTGAATCAAATGTCATCGTTTGACAGAACAATCAGTGTTAAGGTTGTGTTGGTGCGTTGATACGTTCGTTCGTGTTCGTGTTGTCAGAGTAACATAAAGAAGAAATTGATATATTAGGTACAAATCGAGAACTTGTTTCGGTCCAGTATGAAGACCAAATTCATCCCAAAAAAAACCTCCGAACAATCCACTTGAAAAAAGCTGAAATTAACTAATTTTTAGTCTATGTTCAACATTTCGAAAATACTCATTCGATATTGTACGAAACATTTTCGCAGCAATTTTAATTTAAAGCCCCCGGTTTGGACTATTCACATTTCATGAACAACGTCTGAGCAATAAAATAAAGTTTTTCAAGTTCAATACACTTCGAATAAAAATACAATTTATTATGACTTTGATAATAAGTACTGTTTGGGCTGTAATTTAAAAAATCATAGTTATGATATCCTAACGGAATGAGTCAAACCATTTGAAATTCATTATTTTAATGTTTGAACACACCTATTTGATGTAATAATTTCTATCAAATTATATAGAAGTGAAGTCCCTCAATTAATCCCCTTCCTATATCTGGATCATCCTCAAGAAATCCCGTTCCTATATCTGAATCATCCTCAAAATCATCCACGCAGTCGCGATGGAACTGTATAATTATACCTGATTCCAATTCAACACTCGTCTTCAATAATCCGCCGGCATGACAATCATATTCATCTGGTAGCCCGTTTTCCAGCCGAATTTTATACATAAAACCAGGTCTAACGAGAATCGGTTTAGTTAGGAAAATACGAACATTTCTCCTACGATTCAGAATTTCATTTGCACTATAAAGGATAACTTCTTTCTCTGAATCGGCCACTTCCACGATAACTACTTTAGTTGGCATGTCATGATAATGTGCACAGTAATTTAGCCCACGCATATACACGAGCACTTGGGGACAATCGATCGCTCGAAGTAAAAGAGATTCGTTGGTTGAGAAGACGGTTGTTTCTATGCTTTCGATTTTATATGGTTCAGATGAACCATAACTTGAAATTAGTCGATCACAGAGAATTTTTCGATTTCGATGCCATGGTTCCGACGAATGGCATCTTTCCACACGATCGCCACTGAGGATTGTTGGCTGAAACGTTGGGTCTGCGATAATTTGAATGATTTCCTGGTGCTCATCAAACGAAAATGTGCTTCCATACGTTGGAATCAGTGCAGAGAAATCTGGTAACGACATCGAACCGAAGCGAATTTCATGAAACAAATCGCCGAGGTGAGCTTGTACGATCTCTTTCGTTAAAACATCCTGCTTGCTCGCCGACTTGACCCAAGTCATGCACGCCACAAAGAGCTCGACTTCAGTGCATGACATCCAATTCAGCTTCAGTATTTGAGCTAACATCTTTCGATCACATGTCTGGAAGTCTGTTGACTTGAACACTGCTTTGATATTCAATCCAATGAAAATTTCACATGCCTTTTTCAATCTCTCTTGATTGAGAAAGATTGCCAATTCATAGTTACTACAGACGTTTTCATCATTGAGATTATTTTTCAGGAATTTGGTGCACACTGCCAAACACTCGGTCACATTGTACATTTCACCGAGATTCATCACTGCAGCGACGTTTTCCATGGTTAGCTTGACTTGACCAATGTAAAAAAACTGTAGAAATTCCTTAAAGGCAGAAGCCGAAACATCGCCAATTTTCACCTTATCCATCTCCTTCCACGATCCATTGAACATTGTGACGAAGACATTACTGGCCGCCATCAAGAGCATTTTGTGTGCTGGCACTCGTTCGATGTCATCGTTTGATTCGAAGACAAAGTGAACATCGGCCGATTCAGAGTTCAAGTACAACTTTTTTCCGATGGCAGCGAATAGTTGAGTTGAATAATCGCTGGTTAATGGGTTGAAAACCGACATCGTATGCTCAATCGTAGAATTCTGTTGAAGTAGAAAAAGAAACCATAAAATATTTAGACTAAATTACAACAGACTGACAACTGTTGTTTTTCATATCCAATATAAAAAATGGATCGTGAATCGAATAGCGACACTTACACTCCAATATTTTATTTATATGTTATGTCGATCGTTTGTTTTTATGAAGTAATAATGATTGGATGCACACTTTGAATTTTGATCAGAAATAGAACTTCTGATAGCTAACTGATGAATGAAGTCCTTAAAAAATCGAAATAAAATCAACTTATTTGGAGTTTGTCTGTGAATCAAAGAACTTTCAGAGAGTTTGTCTGAACAGCTTAATGATGCCAAATCGAATGTCCTTATTTGACAGATCCCAATGTACTATTGAAGTTGTGTGGGTGCGTTCATTCGTGTTCGTTTACATCGTGGTATTGCCAGAGCCATAAAACATCCATGTAATGCAACATTAAAAAACATTTATAGCATAATGTTACTCGTTTAAATTTTTCCTTTAGTTTCATTCAATGTAAAACTGTAAATTGATAACTGTTCTACTCAATCGCGGCATAAATGTTCCATTCGTTCTTCTTTTACCAGTGGCTATTGACCTAAACATAAAATGCAGAATAAAATTTGATTGTGAGGTCAGAAATCGATTTGATTTAATAAATGGTCCAAACAATTCCGTTCAATTCGATGGTGTGGTTAAAATTCGTTTTAAAGCTGGATCGAACATAATGACTCGTTTGATTTGTCAGCAATTCGAGGTAAATTGCAATAGTAATTGGGACCTTAAACCGTAAGGGTAGAATCACTAAGTGAATCGATCACAAAACAACACACACAAAATAGTCGGTTTGACAGATTTCAGATATTTAACATAAATGTCAGTTCATGTGAAATTTAAATGAATTTCACATAAACCGTGCCTACATAAATGTATAGTTATGATGTTTATGTAGATTTAGTCAAAACTTCGTATGAACAAACCTTTATTTCAAATATCTGAAATCTTACAAACCGACTCTTTTGTGTGCACTATTCCATTGAATTCGTTAAATGATAAATAATAAATTAGAAGCTAATTAGAAAATATTCAAACGAATGTAACTCTCTATTGTTTTTTTATATAATAAAAAAAAGAAAAAAACTCTTTTCTCATTGAAACATAAAATTAGTGAAATGTTTCTTGTTATTAATTAAAGTTCAAATCTCTGTCGCTCTTGTCAGTCATTGATAGATCGGATTATTTCAAATTAATGTCCAATGTCTAGCCAACAAACTATTAAAGTATTTCCAGTTCATTGATTAAAAATGCAATGAATTTTGGCATTGATATTCTTCATTGAAAATGGCATCAGTAAGTATACGAAAAAGAGCAGGATTTGGCACAAAGAAAAATCGATAGAGAAATAATAATTCAATAAATTGTGACTGTTTGCATTGTTACTTCCATTTAAATAAAAAAATTTAATGAATTTTTAAATGTTTGTTTGATTTATTATTCCAATGTTTGAAAAAATATTTCGTGCAATTATTGCTATCAAATTTTTTGGAAAAACAGGCTATAAATTAATCCTCTTGCTACTGTTGGATCCTTCTCAAGAACGGAATCGCGATGGAACTGTATAATTATTCCGGACTCCAATTCTACACTCGATTTTAATAGTCCGCCTGTGTAACAGTTTTCCGAAGTTTGTTCCAATCGAATTTCATACGTAAAACCAGATTTAACACGAATTGGTTTAGTTAGGGAAATACGGACAAATTCTCTAGAATTTAGAATTCCATTCGCATTGAAAACAATAACTTCGTTGTTAGTTTCGCTCTTTTCCACGATTGTTATTTTAGTTGGAACACCATCATTAAGAACAAAGTATCGCTTGTTGACAATTGCTTGTATATTACCGCATCCGATCGCTCGAAGTAAAAGAGATTCGTTGGTCGAGAAGACAGTCGTTTCTATGTTTTTGATTTTATATGGTTCAGATGAATAATAATTCGAAATTAACCGTCCACAGAAAATCTCATTACTTTCGTGCAATAGATCCAAAGTATTGCACCTTTCCAAACGATTTCCATTAAAGATAGTTGATTGGAATGTTGGGTCTGCGATCATTTGAATGATTTCCTGGTGCTCGTCAAGCGAAAATGTACTGCCATACGTTGGAATCAGTGCAGCGAACATTTGAAGTGACATCGATCCGAAGCGAATTTCATGAAACAAGTCGCCGAGGTGAGCTTGTACGGTCTCCTTGGTTAGAACATCCTGCTTGCTCGCCACTTTGACCCACGACATGCATGCCTCGAAAAGATCGACCTCAGTGCATGACATCCAATTTAACTTCAGTATTTGAGCCAACATCTTTCGATCGCATGTCTGGAAGTCTGTTGACTTGAACACTGCTTTGATATTCAATCCAATGAAAATTTCACATGCCTTTTTCAATCCTTCTTGATTGAGTAAGATTGCCAGTTCATAGTTACTGCAGACGTTTTCATCATTGAGATTATTTTTCAGGAATTTGGTGCACACTGCCAAACACTCGGTCACATTGTACATTTCACCGAGATTCATCACTGCAGCGATGTTTTCCATCGTCAGCTTGACTTGACCAACGTAGAAAAACTGAAGGAATTCTTTGAAAGCAGAAGCCGAAACATCGCCAATTTTTACCTTATCCATTTCTTTCCATGACCCATTGAACATTTTGGCAAAGACATCGCTGCCGACCATCAAATGAGCTTTGTGTGCTGGCACTCGTTCGATGTCATCGTTTGATTCGAAGACAAAATGAACATCGGCCGATTCAGAGTTCATGTACAACTTCTTTCCGATGGCAGCGAATAGTTGAGTTGAATAATTGCTAGTTAATGGATTGAAGACCGACATCGTATGCTCAATCGTAAAATTCTGTTAAAGTAGAAAAAGAAACCATAAAATATTTAGACTAAATTACAACAGACTGACATATGTTGTTTTTCATATCTGCTAAAAAAAACTGATTGTGAATCGAATGGCGACACTTACACTCCAATATTTTCTTCAAATGTTTTGGCTAGACTCGATCGTTTGTGTTTATGATATAATAATGATGGATGCACGTTTTGAATTTTCAGTAGAAATGGAACTTTTAATAGTTAAATAATAATACTTATTTTGAATTTGTCTGTGAATCGAAGTACTTTCGGATAGCGTGTCTAAATAGCTTAATGATGCAAAATTGAATGTGGCTGCTTGACAGATCCTGATGTGTTGAAGTTGTATGGGTCCGTTCATCCGTGTTCGTTTTCATCGTGGTATTGCCAGAGCCACAAACAGGAAGTACTTACAGTCTTACAATCAACCATTAGTGACAAAATTAGAAAAACTAAACAAAAGAAACTCATTTCTTATTCAATCATAAAATTAGTTAAATGTTTCACCTCAAAATCGATATGAATCCGATCGTTTTATTCGAACACATTTTCCGTCCATATCTCCATTCGTGGTAGCCCATTTAAAAGAAACAAAGACATCGTCTGGCACATAAATCGTAACTTTGCGTGCATTTTTCAGTTTTTTACGTTCTTCATTCAACGCCGATGCATTGAAAATGAGCTCGTTTCTGTACGCGGACTGGTTCAACGCTTCATTTTGACATTTCAGAATAATTGTACTCAATTTGGATGCATATCGAACGAATGCTAAAACATCACCATAAATTGATGTTCCAAGGCAAACCCGTTCCAAATTAGTGAGTCTCTGTGCCAAAATGTCCATATCAACCCTTGGTGTTGCGTGCATAATTGTCAATTCTTTCAAATTGCCAACCAATGGTAATCCATAATTTCGATCGAGAAAATTGATGAACAATTTTTCAAGCCCTTGCAGTGATACCATTCGATTGGTGTATTGTTCATTGATCTCCGGCACACGCAGATGCAATTTCTTATAAAAACCGCGATCATACAATTCGTTGAGCAACTTAAATATCGATTCAATATGCACAATCATTCCAAACTTTTGATGAACGATCACATCCAGCGCGTCCAATTGGATTGTTTTCTCGGCAAATTCAACTTGATGTTCCCAAAGAAATCGATAACTGGTTGAAAAACTACGAACTTTTGGATTTAACTCGAAGAATCGGCTGAGTTCATTCATGTTAAATCTCAATCGTCTCCTTGGAATCAATCCCAAATGCTCAAGCTTGGAATATTCCGTAAGTAACCAATCATTTTCGGATGCTTGAACTATGTCCTCGTTAGAACATGATACATACAAACGTTTTAAATTCGCACAATTTTTCAGACACGATTCGTAGAAGCTGCATTTTAATGAACAATGTTTCAATTCAACGATTTCCAATGTGTTCAAAATGTGTTGCATGCAGTGGAGCCGGTGAGGTGTTAATTCGACAGCTTCAAGAGACAGATGACTGACTGAAGTGAAAGTTGAAGCATAACGTTCGATGTAACGAATGGATTGGTTTCCGTTGAGAGAAATATGTTTGATGAATTGGTTGAAACTAGGTGTTTCTGCATATTCTGTTCCATCACAAGAGAACACTTGATGAACGACATCACTTTCATCAAATTTTGCCGCCGACAAATAATTCGCTTTGGCATATTCACCGACCACTTGTTGTATTGTTCTGCATGTCCAACTGAGGGCCAACAAATCTTTTGCTGACAAGTAATCAAAGATTTCATCGAAACAATCAATATTCAATTCGAAAATACTAGGACGGTCTTCTTTTATTTCCAAAGAAAAAAGTAATTGAACTGCTTCATCTGGCTTCAGTTTCTTGGCTGGTGTTCCACTATCACTTTTAGATACGTTTTCACTCATTTCGTCTAAACTAAGCCGGTGTAAATTAAGATTTTTCAATGGCTCCGAAAAGCTCGGGCCAAAGCGAAGAAATGAAGATTTAATCCAAAAGTTTGAGACTAAATTTTTTGAAAGAAATCTCTACTTATGTACAAATAAGTCTTATTACTAAGTGCTGACGAATGACTAAAAGATGAAATTATTTTTATTAGCAACATATTTCGTTCGTCTCGTACATTTGATTGATAACAAGTCATAAGACGCAAGAGGGTCATAAAAATTCACACGATACGCTTTATTCATTAATTTCGTTATTGAATCAACCGAAGGTCCTGCATCTAAGCGTCTGACAGCTCACTTCTAGCGCTACGAGACAAGTGACAAAAGTTGTGACACAGATCGTTCAATGTATTATTGAATCTTTTTTATATTTGTTAATAAAGTAGACAAAAAGAATAAAAATGTCACGAATGTGCAAAATTGATTTTTGTGAGAGCGTAGCACGTGATAAACATCAATTTTATAAGTAAAAAATGTTTCTTTAATTACGGAACATTGTTGATGCGTTCAATTTGTCGCGTACATGAGTGCGTCTAACGACGTAAAGAATTGAAATGAACTTCACTGAATGCGCTCATCGCAAATTCGTGTTTTACTTTGTTTTGTTAGTGTGGTGCAGGGGTTGTGGAATCAACACGATCGTCACCTTTTGCCAGAATTTCGAACATTGATAAATTGATTTTTTTATATATTTCATGGCCAATGACCTGACGTATTTTTTTAATTTCAACATATTGAATAAAAAACACAATGAAATATGGCTTTAGTAATCTCTATTGAAAATGATATCAGTAAGTGTATGTAAAAGAACACGGTTTGGTTTGGCACAAATAAAACATGATTGGGAAATATTTTGATAAGCAAGAATTTGAATTATTCTTTTAAAAAAAATCATCTTAATAACAATGTTGATTTGATTCATTATTTCAATGTTTGAAAATATTTCATATTGTTATCAAAGTTTTTGGAAAAACAGTTGATAAACTAATCCTCTTGCTATTTTTGGATCGATATCCAGATAGGAGTCTCGATGGAACTGTATAATTATGCCGGATTCCAATTCAACACTCGACTTCAATGTGCCACCTGCGTAACAGATCTCTGATGGCATTTGTTCTAATCGAATTTCATATGTGAAACCAGGTCTAACGAGAATCGGTTCAATTAGGGAAATACGAACATTTTCGGTAGATTTTAGAATTCCATTCGCATTGGAAACAATAACTTCATTGGAGTTACTCACTTCTGCGATAGTTATGTTTGTTGGAACATCTTCTTTAAGTGCAAAATATTGGCTGTTGAGAGCTGCGCATACAGTGGCACAACCGATCGCTCGAAGTAAAATAGATTCGTTGGTTGAGAAAACAGTCGTTTCTAATCTTTTGATTTGATATGGTACCGGTGATCGAAGAATCGAGATTCGTCGTTCACAGAGAATGTCATGATTTTCATGCCATGGTACTGGTGAATCGCATCTTCCCACACGGTTTCTAGGAAAGATTTTTGGCTGGAATGTTGAGTCCGCGATCATTTGAATGATTTCTTGGTGCTCGTCAAGCGAAAAAGTGCTCCCATACGTTGGAATCAGTGCAGCAAATTCGTAAAATGTTATCGATCCCAAGCGAATTTCATGGAACAAATGGCCGAGATGAGCTTGTACGACCTCCTTGGTTAGAACATCTTGTTTGCTCGCCACTTTGACCCACGACATGCATGCCTCGAAAAGTTCGATCTCAGTGCATGACATCCAATTTATCTTCAGTATTTGAGCCAACATCTTACGATCGCATGTCTGGAAGTCTGTTGACTGGAACACTGCTTTGATATTCACTCCAATGAATGTTTCACATGCCTTTTTCAATCCTTCTTGATTGAGCAAGATTGCCAGTTCATAGTTTCGACAGACGTTTTCATTGCTGATATTGTTTTTCAGGAATTTACTGCATGCCGCCAAACACTCGGTCACATTGTACATTTCACCGAGATTCATCACTGCAGCGACGTTTTCCATGGTTAGCTTGACTTGACCAATGTAGAAAAACTGAAGGAATTCTTTGAAAGCAGAAGCCGACACATCGCCAATTTTCACCTTATCCATCTCTTTCCATGACCCATTGAACATTTTGGCAAAGACATCGCTGCCGACCATCAAATGGGCTTTGTGTGCTGGCACTCGTTCGTTGTCATCATTTGATTCGAAGATAAAATGAACATCGGCCGATTCAGAGTTCATGTACAACTTCCTTCCGATCGACGCGAATAGTTGAGTTGAATAATCGCTGGTTAATGGATTGAAGACCGACATCGTATGCTCAATCGTAGAATTCTGTTGAAGTAGAAAAAGAAACCATAAAATATTTAGACTAAATTACAACAGACTGACAAATGTTATTTTTCATATCTGCTAAAAAAACTGATTGAGAATCGAATGGCGACACTTACACTCCAATATTTTCTCTAAATGTTTTGGCTAGACTCGATCGTTTGTGTTTATGATATAATAATGATGGATGCACGTTTTGAATTTTCCGTAGAAATGGAACTTTTGATAGCAAAATAATGACGTCCTTTGAAAATCGAAATAAAATCAACTTATTCGGAGTTTGTTTGCGAATCAGTACTTTCGGAGAGCGTGTCTGAACAGCTTAATGATGCAAAATTGAATGTGGCTGCTTGACAGATCCTGATGTGTTGAAGTTGTATGGGTGCGTTCATCCGTTTTCATTTTCATCATTGTATTGCCAGAGCCACAAAAAGGAAGCACTGACAATCAAGGATTAGTGACAAATTAAGAAAAAGTAAACAACAAACTCATTTCTTATTCAAACATAAAACTTGTGAAATGTTTCACCTCAAAATCGATATGAATCCGATCGTTTTATTTCGAACATATTTCTGTCCATATCTTTATTCGTGGTAGCCGTAGGGCCCATGCAAGACCAATGATGATCAAGGAAGCAACGACAACACACAGAAAGTCATGTGGTATTAAGGAATAAAGGTGTGGTAATGGTAATAGGTATCGTGGCCAACTTTTTCAACATATTGGGTCTGGGAATTAGTTTTGTCGATTTTTTTAAATTTTCAAACATTTATTTGAATACCAAAATGAAATTACATTTCAATCAAAATATTGTCCATCGGAAGCGATGACCTTCTGCCACAATGTGGGCAATTGACGGATGCCTGCCTTAAAAAATTCCTCATCTTTTGAGGCTATAAATGCATCGAGCCAATTTTGGATTTCTTCAACTGAAGAGAACCGCTCTCCGTCCATATGGTTTTGCATCGATCGAAACAAATGGTAGTCGGAAGGAGCCAGGTCTGGGCTATACGGGGCGTGAGCCAAAACTTCCCATCCGCTATTTTCCAAGTAGTTTTTGACCGATTTCTCAATGTGTGGCCGAGCATTGTCATGTAGGAAAATCAATGTCTCTTTTCTGGTCTCCCATTTCGTGCGTTTTTCTTTGATTGCTTGTTTCAAACGTATCAATTGTTGTCGGTAGAAAGGCCCATCGATGGTTTGACCACTTCTCAGCAGCTCATAATACACCACTCCCTCCTCATCCCACCAAATAGACAGCATTACCTTGTCGCCGTGAATTTCTTGTTTTGGCTGTGATGTTGCTGGTTGGCCGGGCTTAACATACGATGCTTTGCGCTTGGGGTTATCGTAATGAATCCATTTTTTGTCACCAGTGACAATTCGATACAGAAAACCTCTTTTTTTGTGCCTTGCGAGCAGCATTTCGCAAGTCACTAAACGCCTTTCAGCTTGCGCTGGCGTCAATTCATGTGGTACCCAATTTGACAACTTGCGAATGAAACCAAGGGCCCTTAAACGATATCCAACAGTGCTTCGGTCAACATTCAATGCTCTGGCAAGCTCATCTTGAGTTTGACTCGAATCTTCATCGAGCAATGCCTCCAATTCCGCATCTTCAAACTTTTTTGGCTGGCCGGGACGTTCCTTGTCTTCCGTGCTAAAATCACCACTTTTGAACCGTGAAAACCACCGTTCACATGTACGTTCCGATGGAGCATGCTCACCATAGGCTTCCACCAACATTCGATGCGCTTCAGCCGCAGTTTTCTTCAAATGAAAGCAAAAAATTAATGCTTGCGGGAAATGTTGCTTTTTCGGTACAAAATTTGACATATTTAAGGCGCAAAAAAAAATGTTTATCCAAACTTCGATGAAATGATAGATGATGATTTTTGTAGTTTGACACTAGACCACTCATGTGAAAAAGAAAAAAGTATTGCCCGATACAACCATGCAAAGTTACGCCATCTTTTGAAAAATCGACACGATTAATTCCCAAACCCAATATTATATATGTTTGGAAATATTAGATTATTGCACACGTTTAGTGACGAAATGAAATTTTTCGGTCTTTCTTCTGTTGAAACCCATTTCTGTTGCCACAACAGAGCTTCTTTCTTCACAATATTTTCGTTATCATATTCAATCAATGTTTGGCCATTGCTTCAATATCATTTCAACGGTTTCATTTATTTCTTTTTCTGTCAAACAAGTAATAAAATTGGGCAAAATATTCTGTATTTTATTCAAAATATCTCTATGTTTTAAGAACCGTTGTTCCAAATTGCATATGACATGATCACGGGGAGATATAAAAATGGACAATCTATAATACTCTTCGGCAGAAGTGCACGCATAGTTATCTCGATTGCATTGCTGGCTTACTACTCTCGGTCATGGGTGTTGAATGTCATTCAACGCCACTAAGCTGTAGACATCTCTCTCCGGCTATACGGTAAACAACAGAACCAACACTGAACATGAAAATGGCATGTTCAATTGTGTTTGTTTCGTTAGTTTCAACTGTGCCGCTACGAGAGGTCACTTTTGTCGTTTCTTTTTGTTATTTTACACATAAAATCAATGGTATTAGACGAGGATGCTCTCGGTATTGTGATGTTTGCACCGATTTCGCTAGCCATTTTTCGAACCACCAAACCCCCCCCCCTGGATACGCCACTGAATGAATAAATGCAAAATGATGCGTTTATGAAATAATTAGTCGTAGGCAGGATTTTTAACATTTTACTATTTAAATCGAGAATGTCATTTTTTCCAATTATGTTAATTTTTGTATGCATGGTCATATTGATTATCACGGAGGACGATAATCCGACAAGTGACGCTCCAACAACTGTGCATTTTCACGAATGAAATGAATGAATGACACGTACAGCAAAACAAAATTCCTTACGACTGAAATCGAAAACAAATTATTTGGAAACATGTTTTTAATTCGAGCTTCTTGCGTCAATTTCCGCGTTTCGTTATTTTGACAGGTGCAAATGTTTGGATATTTAAATGAACTCGTATTGACGCACAAATTTGTCTGGCTGATTTCAAAAACAAATTATTTTTAGACAATTTGTTCCTCATTGGAGCTTGTGGTTCCTAGTTATGAAAAATTCCAGGCGAATAATGAGTTCATTTATCAAAACACCTGCACCTGTGTATTCCAACCACCAATAATTGGAAAAATTAACAAAACGCGAGAATTGACGCAAGAAGATCGAATTAAAAACATCTTTTCAAATAATTTGTTTTCGATTTCAGTCGTAAGGAATTTCGTTTTGCCGTACGTGTCAAAACATGTTTTCAAATAATTTGTTTTCGATTTCAGTCGTAAGGAATTTCGTTTTGCTGTACGTGGCATAGTAACGACAAGATTACAACATCTAATTTTTGACTATAAATGGGGCACCGAATGCGTGGAAAATTAGTTATTGTTCAAGTGATTCGGCTATAAACATGTCTAAGCAGTTGATGGGTGAGTCTCTTCTTAATTCTTTTTTCCTTCATTTTTTTTTAATTTTTCATTTTTGACAATACTTGAGATTTCAGTCACTCATTGTCTTTTAATCAATATTTTCTCTCCGTTTAGTTTGTTTGGTTCTGGTTGCGGTTTTGGGAGACCAATTCATGGTAACTTACAAATTTTTCTGTATATTTTTTGTATTTTGTCGATCGATGACATGAAGAGTATTTTTTCATTTTCGATATAAATTGACTTTTCGAAAACGAAGGAAAACCAAAAAATATACCACGCGATTAATTACCCCAAATTTAAAGCAATGTCAATCCACCATGTTATATTGGCAAATGTTTTTTTTTGTTTCAAAAATCCATTAATTGTACATTTTAATTCATTCAATTTGGTTATTCCAAACTAAGTCACATATATGCGTTTCTATTTTCCAACTTGAAGCAAATTGAATGTGTTGGTGGATTGCTTGGCAAAGCAAAGGGAGTCATGACACAAGGTAAGATTGAAGCTAAATTTCTTTTCAATGTTTCATTCTCACTATTCGACATACAAAGCACCGTTTGATGTGTTTTCCATCAATCTAACAAAGAATCCAGGCCAAAATAACCAAAACTCAATTGATCCAAACCATTCATGACGAATTTGTTGCATTTTAGAAAATACAAAATGTAACGTTTCATTTAACATTCGTTTGACGTTAATTATATTAAGAAAAAAACAACGCGTTGAATCATCCATTCCAATCGTCATTGTGTTCACGGAGGACGATAGTCCGACAAGTGACGCTCCAACAACTGTGCATTTCAAGCCAAATATCAAAAATGCCAGTTTTTGCGTCACGAGTATATATACAGTAGGGTGGTTTTTTTTCGGACTTTTTCGAATTTCACATGCGGCAGTATTTTTTCAGGCGAGGTTGGTCATAAAAATAAGCCCTGTAAATTTTTAGCCCGATCGGACAACGTTTACCCGTGCCTCATCGGCCTCAAAGTTTGGAGCTTGGGCCCAAGGGAAATCCACAAAATCATGCATCTGAAAACCCCACTTCCGGTAAACCGATCATCATGAAACTTTCAGAATCTTATTTATTCACCAAACATTGGAATCTCTGAAAGTTTCAGGCGGATCGGAGCATAAATAGAGGTAGCTCCCATACAAATGATCGTATTTCCATCATAAAATCGGCCAAAAAAGGCAATTTTTGTATGGGAGCTACCCTTGAATCTCATCCGATTGGCTTCAAACTTTCTGAGATTTCAAATTTTAGTAAAGAACTATGATCCTGAAAGTTTCATGACGATCGCACAAGCACAAGTGTGATTTTTGGTCCCCATATTTGGACGAAATTTCCTTGAACCTTCACTTCACTCTTCACATTCAATCGCCAGTTCCCACCAAACCAATCAACATATTCAAGCCATATAGCACTTTAATTCTTCGTATAGCCTTCCAGAATTAGATTCATGCACAAACAAACATAAATCTAACTGATTTAAGTCATTTTACCCGACACAAAGTAGCAGAATGGGGACCGAATGCATATATTTTGACGTACATTTTGCACAAAAAGTGGTATAATTGACGTTACAAACATAATATCGTTGGTAGTTTATCAAAGAAGGCCTCAATATCTTTGATTTAAGCCATTTTACGCCTTGAAATTATGCTTTAAACGACAATTATACCACTTTTTGTGCAAAATGTACGTCAAAATATATGCATTCGGTCCCCATTCTGCGACTCTGTGTCGGGTAAAATGACTTATATCAGTTAGATTTATGTTTGTTTGTGCATGAATCTAATTCTGGAAGGCTATACGAAGAATTAAAGTGCTATATGGCTTGAATATGTTGATTGGTTTGGTGGGAACTGGCGATTGAATGTGAAGAGTGAAGTGAAATTTCGTCCAAATATGGGGACCAAAAATCACACTTGTGCTTGTGCGATCGTCATGCTCCCATACAAAAATTGCCTTTTTTGGCCGATTTTATGATGGAAATACGATCATTTGTATGGGAGCTACCTCTATTTATGCTCCGATCCGCCTGAAACTTTCAGAGATTCCAATGTTTGGTGAATAAATAAGATTCTGAAAGTTTCATGATGATCGGTTTACCGGAAGTGGGGTTTTCAGATGCATGATTTTGTGGATTTCCCTTGGGCCCAAGCTCCAAACTTTGAGGCCGATGAGGCACGGGTAAACGTTGTCCGATCGGGCTAAAAATTTACAGGGCTTATTTTCATGACCAACCTCGCCTGAAAAAATACTGCCGCATGTGAAATTCGAAAAAGTCCGAAAAAAAACCACCCTAATATACAGTAAGTATGCTATATTCTCAGGGCACTATTTGGGCCCCGGCATGTTAGGTACCGTTGGAAAAGTCTTGGCCCAAATAGTCGGAAACAAAATCGAAAATGGAGTGACGCTCCGTGCGTGGATTTACCACTCAAAATGACTGATATCATTTTGAGTGACGCTAGGACGCTGTATTACTGGGAACGAAGTTCAAAAGTGTTTTTCGCATTCACTTATGTGAAAATTTATTTACAATAAGGAAAAATATCGCGTTACGACTTTTGAATTTAGTCTTCAAGTCAAGTTTTAAAGCGTTTTGCCGTCCAAAAGTCCGCTATATTGAGGCCGCAAATTGTATCCAAATATAAAAATGATACAATAATGATCAAAATCAAATGAATACCTCCTGCAATTTATCTGCAAAAAAATCAACGACCACTGAAAATAGTTTTTAAAGTATTTAGGCCCAATCCGAATGCTAAACTATAAAATTTATGGTGACACTATAAAATTTGAAACGTGTTTATGCTGTGTTAAGCCGAAGTATTTGGTCAGATTCCTTAAATTTACGCCAAATTCAACTAAATTAAACAATATCCACCCATAATTTCCTCATTTTTTCAATTTGATAACAGTTTCAATTTTAAACTACACTTTAAAAAAATTTCTTTGTTTTTCTCCATTTTTATGGAGAAATTTTGGTCCCACGGAATGAGTTATGACAAATAATGACGATGTGGCCCAAAAACCGCAATGATTTCATCGATTTTTTTTGAATTTTTTTGAGTTTTTTCGAAAAAAAAATGAAATTTTCTGAAATTGTTTTTTTCGACTTTTCTTTACATTTTTTGGAAAATTTCAATTAAATGGAACGTATTAGGGCCCAAAAAGACGTTTTACGTCGGAATTTTTCTATTTTTTTCTTTCGATTTTTCGTGATTTTTGGGAAATAGTATGAAGCTCTATTCCTCCATTTCTTTGTTGGAACATGTCTTTCGACTTGGATCGACTCAGTCAGTTTCAAAAACAGAGCATATATTGTACCAAATTCGCATTTTTCGATTGAAAACTCATTTTTCCGCCATTTTTAGTTAAAATAGTGATCTGATTTATCATTGAATGATGAAATTGGACTTTTTCCTATGATATCTGCCAAAAATACACACTGCTTTATGCTTTCCAATGACCACATAACTCGCCGCAAATCGCACATTTTTCAGTGAAAACACATTGAGTTTCGTTTTCAAAGTACTATATCGTTGTGATTCCGACTCATAGCATCGAAAAAAATACGTTCAAATCAAACGCTGCAATTGTCGGCGCTATTGTCACGTAAAACTGCCAAATTTTCGATATTATTATATAACGATTTATCACTTGACAAATATCAATAAAACTGTTCTATGTTTTAAGTACTTGTGACAATTATGCGGCGTTTGATGTGTACGTATTTCTGGCGATGCTATGAGCCCGAATCACAACGATATAGTACTTTGAAAACGAAACTCAATGTGTTTTCACTGAAAAATGTGCGATTTGCGGCGAAAAATTGGAAAAATCGAGTTATGTGGTCATTGGAAAGCATAAAGCAGTGTGAATTTTTGGCAGATATTAAAATAAAAAATCCAATTTATCAATATTTTAGCTAAAAATGGCGGAAAATGAGTTTTCAATCGAAAAATGCGAATTTGGTACAATATATGCTCTTTTTGAGAAACTGACTGATTTCAACAAGAAACTTGCCAATATTATGGTATGAAAAGTTGACGAATGACGTCTCAGAGTCGATTCAAGTCGAAACACAGACATGTTCCAACAAAGAAATGGAGGAATAGAGCTTCATACTATTTCCCAAAAAATCACGAAAAATCGGGAAAAAAAATGGAAAAATTCCGACGTAAAACGTCTTTTTGGGCCCTAATACGTTCCATTTAATTGAAATTTTTCCAAAAAATGTAAAGAAAAGTCGAAAAAAACAATTTCAGAAAATTTCATGTTTTTCGAAAAAACTCAAAAAAATCCAAAAAAATCGATGAAATCATTGCGGTTTTTGGGTCACATCGTCATTATTTGTCATAACTCATTCCGTGGGACCAAAATTTCTCCATAAAAATGGAGAAAAACAAAGAAAATTTTTTATAGTGTACCCTATAAATTTTATAGCTTACCCGAAAAAAATGTGAATTCAGAAAATGATTTTTTCACAAAATTGCACAAAATTTCACAAAATTTCACTTTTGAGGGTCCATAACTCGGCCCCGGCTTGACATTTATTATAAAATTTATATATCAATTTGAACTTAAAGGCCTATCCAATGCAACGCTACCATATTTTCGACCACCTATAACATGGTACGCAAATTATGGGCCATTTTGTGCACCCCGCCTTTTGGCGGTCTTACGAACTAGAGGGTTAATAAATATGTTCAACGGGTAAAACAAAAAAGAAAGGTGTTTGTTTGTCAATTTATCGACAACTGGGCGAAACTAGTATGAATAAATCTGTATAAAAGAGGTTTATTTATTCATTTATTTATTACGAAGCCTACATTTATGCCAATATGTGTTCCCAGCAAGCTGAGAACATGCTGGTCAGAGACCCAATACGGCATAAATTCCGCCCATGGTGCGTCTTTTGCAAAGAGAATACAGTCAGGGGAGGGATGATATAAAAGTTAGGCTTTATACTAGAATTGGGTCCGGAAAACCATGGCAAAACCGGCCTAATTCTGGAGAACCAGGGAAAAATACAATGATGATGAGTTTTTGCAATTTAAAGTACGTTAACATCAATGAATGAAATCAAATGAAAAGTCAATCTTAGTCTAAATTGGATAAGAAATTTCATAACAATGGTCCGAGAAATTTACTATTTGAAAGATGTCGAAAAATTTACTGCGTAGAACGTAACAGATGCTTTAGGCTATTTCTAAACGCGACTAGAGATTTAGAATTTCTAATTTCGACCGATATACTATTCCAAAAATTAATTGCAGAGAAACTAAATGCGCGAGTATCAAATGCGGTACGCGGATTGAAATTTATGCGAAGATTATCTGGATAACGCGACGATTCACCATTACGAACAAACATGTGATTCAGATACTCAGGCGAACAATTCGACAACTGCTTGAATATCAAGACTGCTGAGTGCAGTTTTGCTCTGCTCTCAGGAGTCAATCCACTCAAACGCTCACGAT